CCCCTCAGGCCACGCCCCTAGCGTGCGAGGGGGGCGTGGCCGCCGAGCGCCCCGCGCTGGGTCCTAGCGCCGCCCGCCGCCGCCTCGTCCCGGTTCCCCGGCAGCTCCGTTCACCGCCGGAGCGTCCCGAAGGGATCAAATCCACGCCGTGACGTCAGCGCGGCCATCGGCCGTCTCCTATGGCGATGATGTTTGGAGGTCCCCGTCTAATTAACCTCTAATTTGTCTGGGCGGACAGTAAACAATCTGAACGTGCAAAGCCACATTTAAGCGCAGCGCAAAGGTTGCATTTATTGCCCAGAGAGCACCGGTTTTGCATATATCTGACGTCAGGCCGAGCATGGAACAGACATCATACTTTGTCCTGATTCCTCACTTTTTGCACTCAGAGAGAGCAAAACTATTCAGATGGATGCGAATGGAGTTTTATTAGTGAGAAGCACAGCTGAAGGAAGAATTAGAATCATAGAATTGTCTAGATTGGAAGAGACCCTCGGGCTCATCGAGTCCAACCATCTACCCTACTCTACAAAGTTCTCCCCTACACCATATCCCCCAACACCACATCCAAACGTCTCTTAAACACATCCAGGGATGGTGACTCAACCACCTCCCTGGGCAGCCTATTCCAATGCCCGGGGAATTAGACTATATACTTCTTTGTTACGAATGCTGTTCACGTTTTTGAGTATCCTGAGAAAACTCTCTCGCTTCAACTTGATTTATTCTTCTCAGCTGCCGCTAAGCTACTGGCCTCCTGGACCAGCACCACCACGAGCACCAACCGCACCATAACTGCCTTCTTCCATCAGCCCAAGCTCAGGTCACATTCGCTCATCGCTTTGCCACCTTGGAAAGATGCTTTAACGTGACCGTGCATGGCTCTGAGTGTGCAGAGCCTCCAACAGCAAAGCTGCTGCACATCTCACATATTTACAGCCCAATAAGTTTGACAGGCACAAAGCAATGCAGAAAAAGTTAATTTTTAATAGAGGGTCACCCAGACAGCTTTATAAGAAGTTTGGGTATCTTCCCAACCCGCTACTTTAAAGCTATAGCGCTACAGCTGGACCTAGAGTGCTTAAAAACAGAAGTTTAAAAGGGAGAAAAAGTCAAATTAGGATTCTATATTTAAATGCTTCTGTGCAAGCACAGAGCTGATCACATCAGTCATCGTTCTTCACCTCTTTCAGCATTTTACCTTCCAATAGTATAACACACTTACAGGATTTACGTCCTCTTACAGCTGCATTTCAAGCAGAAGCATCTTCCACACTCCTGGTTGCTACCAACCCAACGCTGGAATCTTCACCTCACGGATGAGGCTAATTTCAGTGCTGCAGTTTTAGTGCTGTTTAAAATAACAATATCAGTTCTGCAAATATGAAGTGTTGTGTTCATCCTCCAGAGCCGGCATGTGACATTCATCTTCTGCTTCAGAACACAAATTCGGGGTTCAATCCCTCTCTCGGACGGCTGGCGGCCAGGGCTCGGTGTCAGCCAGGCATGGTGGCTTCTCCGGCTCCTCGGCAAAAATCTTTGTAAGGAAAACATTTCCTCCTAGCCAACATGATGAATGATGAAAGTGCTGCAAACTGACCCAGAGTGTCCCCTCTGGGGATGTTCCCAG